ACATCAGTGTGAGGGTCGTCAGCGCGGCTGGTTGACAGTAGCCTACTTTGCAGGTTCTGGTAGCGGTCAGCTTTTTTTTTGGGGGGGGGGAGCAAGGTCTGATTGCACGTACATTGCACACGCTTAGAAGGGGCCTGCATGGGGGATCCCGACAACGCTCTACCCTGAATTCGGAAATCTCTCGATTATGCTTTACAATAAATTCCAAGTGGCTACAACGCATTACATAGAATTAAAACGGCAAATACGCTCTACGCAAAATACGCCAATTTTGCTCTACGTTGATTTAGAACAGTCCGTCTACGCTCTATGTAGAATTAAAACGGCCGATTACGCTCTACGGAAAAGGGCATGCGGGACACTAGTATGTCTTCTCTAACAGTCACTTGGCTCAACCTCCTTTGGCAGGATGCCATCTTCTCAGTGTGTGTTCATCTAGCCTTGACCTCCTGCATAGACTTTCTACCGGGCAGCATTTGCTTTTACTAGCATGGCTGTTTCTTGTCATTGTGAGAGCTGTATGGGGGGGGGGGCTGTACAGGGCAGATAGCTGCATCGGTCGCTTAGCTGCTTTCATTCGGCGCTCTCAAAAGAAATACTAGTAATGAATAATAATAACAGTGTCTTCCAAGTGCCCAATACAGGTATTCCCTCCATGAAGGTTCATCTGAGTTGTTTAATTACTGTACGAAATGAAAAGTAAACTTTTCTCCAACTACAAAGGAATTTGACTCACTCAAAGGAATTTTCGACCAATTTATATCTCTGTATTTTTAGTGATAGCCGATAAAGTGAGTCAAACTTTGTTAGAGAACAGTTTAATTTTAACTAAGCTTAACAACCCCTGATAGAGCCCTTCCCCCAGAAAGAAATTGCCACGATCATTGAAACAAATGCAGGCCATTGCAAAAGTCTGCACTAGAGGCTAGGTCTTCAGGTGGTCAGAGGACGACCTGCAGTATACAGTACAATCAGTTGGCCGGGAAACTGACAATAGCACAAGCTGGCTTTCATTATTACTGCCTGACAGGGATCATGTCATAAGAACCTTTTTTCTCAGTTGAAGCACAGCTAGAATCAGATCCATGTTTATGTACGTTCCCTCAAATACCAAATGTTACAATGCTCACGTGGAATGGATTTGTTAGAGTTCACAATGGATTACTGAGTTATCCTGCAAAATAAAAAAAATCTTGTAGCTAATGCCATATGATTATGTTGAATGATTATAGACTTGAAAAGTTGTGACAGATTCTTAAATATCAACTGACTGTATGGCCAACATATTGATGACTCTGGAATCACAAACTAAGATGTTTTTGTACCTGCAACTATACCTTTCTATAAACTTGAATGTGGGGGTTGCATGTGCATGTATGGTAATATCAACACAAGTATCTTATAATTTTCAAACAGATTTTTTGGTGTCTACAAGACAGTATCAAATTGACATAGCACTGCAGTATATATCCAATACGCTTGCGAAAAAAGCCAGTAATACAGCTCCAAGCACACCACTGATGAACCTCTAAACTAAAGGCATTTTTGTAGAGCTGTAATTACTGAATAGACCATCATGTTAAACCTTCAATTTTCATAAAACTGTTATACTTAGGCCCAATTTATACACAGTTTTTACTCCGGTTAATTACCATCCTCCTTCTCCAAACAGGGCTGACCCCATTCTTGCAAAAGCTAACCAACTATTAAAAGGCCAGTATAAACTATTTGGCAGCGTTTGGCTGCTTGACAGACATAATGCAGTGTTTCTTCCTAACATGTGGAACACTGACACACCATTTCCGCTGTTCAGGAAACCTGTTTACAGACTCATTATCCGCTAACTTCATTCCCCAAATTGTCTGGCTGAATAGACATGACAAAAATAGGAGATAGGAGCAAAGGTTATCAACATCAAGAAATGTGTCTGTCCCCAGATGTGGGTCTATATAGAGGGCTACACTGATAGTTTTGTATCTGTGTACTATAATTGTATATTAGGTACTTAATCTCCAAGCAGAGGTTTAGGCTTTAGCCTATGTGTTTTTATAATTATTGGGCTCTTTTTGGTACCACTAGAAGAAATCTGGAGTAGGTGTTTACACGTTTAGGGTTAGCAGGTCCAGGTCAGGTCACACCTTGTCAGTAAAGTAAATAACCTCCAGATTGCACTTGATTTCAAACTGCTCTTGGTGATTTGGGGGGTATGAATGATTGGCAGCTAGAAGACCTGTACTGTCTGATCACCTGTTAGTCATTAAGTTGATATTGTTGCAAGCACATTGCCAGAACATACTGTGCCTGTGCAAAGCCCAGATTTTTCATGGTTCCTTTATTTCTAATTGGATGTTTGGTCAATGTTGTTTCAAAATTGCTGTTGCAGATGATTTGAGAACTAAGGAATGTAATGTGCATAGCACTTCTATGGGATATATCGTTTATAAAGCCGTGTTCGCATATTTAGGTATGACATCCCATCTAGTTTTCAAATGTTGCGTCGGAAAAGATATAAAAGGGACACAGTTTTGATGCAATGTTGATCCAACATCCAACAGAAAACGTGGTTTTGCACAGATGCAGTAAGTTCTGCTGACAATTTGCTACCAGTTAAGAAGTTTCACGTATACCAGTAACACCCAACAATCCTGATCTGTATGATATCTTTATTCATCAGTTACAGGGCAAGAGTTATGAAATCATGTCAGCCACAGAGACTAACTCAGAGATCTGGGGGGGTACACACTAAGCAAATACAGTTTTCATCACTACACAATACTCTTTTAAGTACAGCTATACAGTGTTCTACACATGTTCCTTACACCAAATTTTCCTATACTCATATCAAATTGGTTTCCTCCCCTCTTATCAATTCTACTACGCTGAGAATAACGTTTCAAATCTGTAAAACATTTTTTCATTCGTTCAATTTGCCAATAGACTTTAGTTTACTGTTTATTAAAAAATCACTGTTTTCTCAAACTTGTAAACAAGCTAATGTTTGGGACACAGGTTTATTGCAGACCATTCTTTGATACTGGTGGTTGGGGAGGAAACCTGGTTTTCTGCAGTTTAGGGCAGACATATATATACACACGGAGACTCAACATTGGTCCCCTGGAATTTTTAGCGCAATCTGGGAGTCAAAAATCGTAGAAAAGTTTGCGATATGCCATGTAACGGAGCCTATCATCAGAAAATATACTTTCTTCTTTTTTTACGAAATTACTTGAGAAAGAGAGTGAAAATAATGGACCCTTTGTTTCGATTCGAAGTAGGAAAGTTGTGTTTAGAAGCCTACACACCTTAGAAGGCACAGTCTGCAAAACCAGTTTTGCTGTAGAAACCCTACTTGGACACGGCCCGAACTGGCATTGCCAAAGGTTAGATCCTTTTTTTTTTGTTCCGTTTTCTTTTCTTTACAACGTGAAGGTTATAAACTAATATTGTTACAACCTACTGCTTCTGTACATGTCGGTTGATGTTTATAGAACCAACTTCAGATCTCTACAGCCAGTTTACTTTGTTACCCATACAACCAACCAAGAACTCTAAACTGTAAATCATTAAGTAGACAACAGGTCTATCTATATCATGACAACTGTTTTTGGAAAATTGGGGACTAGTAGTATATATATGTACAAAAGTCAGGGGTACCTGACTGACTTGTGTGGGCCCTCCATAATAAAGGTTCCGACATCCACCTAGCCATTTACTACGACACTCATCAAAACACACAATTAAATATTAGTTTCCTACTGTTGAGAAGTCAACTCTGATGTGCAAGGAATTGTGCAAGTAAAAAAACTCTACTTATCGGTACGGATATGCTATCATCCTCTACATTATACTATATAGTCATTCTGAACACTTTAATATGTAAAGAGCTACTTACTTTTGGTAACAAATTAGAAAAACAAATCATCTACTGCGACATACAAGCCGAAATCTGTAAACACAATATGAACAGGTCGTGACAGACTGAAGTACATCTTCTACCACATTACTGTACTTTCCACCACAGGTTTCAATTTAAATATCCTTCACGACATTTTTCCTTACACATAGAGGAAGGGGGACAGTCAAGAATCAAGACTATGCCATACTTGACATCACAATTATAATAAAGACCACACTCCTAAACTTAGCCTGTTGGTGGGTGGGGAGTGGGGAGGGGGGTACGGGGAGTTAGACTGAAGTTTCCGACTGCAGTCTGAGAACAAACTTGTTGCTCTTTGGGTCTTGGTAGTCCTCCTTGAGCTTGATGGTTGGAATCCGCATGACGGTAACCAGCAGCGAGAAGCTCTGCTCGCGTAGAGCGAAGCTCATGCCCGGTTCCAGCGAGTTGTGGAGGGGAAGGTCCGACACAAGGGTCCACTTTTGCTTCTTGTGAATTTCGCTCTCGTTCTGAATGGATGGCCCGGGGGTTAGGTACCGCTCCAGGAAGGCCTTGGGGGTACAATCGTGTACGATACAGAAAGCCAGGTGTTTGAGGATGCTGTCCATCGTGTGGTAAGGCTGCTGCTTTGTTACGCGCAAGTATTTCTGCATGGGACGGGCGAACGCCGGGAAGATGGCCTGCGCGGCCTCGTGAGGATCCATGGGCACGGCCGGGCCCCGCTCCTCGCTCAGCCGTTTGATATGCGTGAAAGCCTCCTCCGTGGCACACACGAACCGCACTCTTCTCTTCTTCACCCTCCTCTCGTACTCCTGTTCCTCGTAGTATCTCTCCTTGTGGATCGACTCGTGGCGCCGCCCCGCCGCCGCGATCATGGCCCGCGTCTGTCCCGACGAGGCGTTGCCCGGGTTCCCGTCTACGTCGTAGAACTTGAAGCCGGTGAGCTGTTTGGGCGCCCGGGTGGGTATGTGCATGAGGGCGGGGTTGTACGGCGGGAAGTCACGGTAGTATTGCTCCAGCAGCCAGACGGCGGCCCGCTGGATGCTGAACTGGCCCACGTGGTAGAACCGGTTCTCCCCGTCCGTGTTCCGCACCACCTTCACAATAAACTGCGGCCTTAGGTGCCTGAGTTCGATGAGAATAACTGCTAGGTAGTGGATGAAGAGCAGCGCATCCACCAGGGAGACTGCGTACTGCACGATGTCCTGGTAGTTGGACGGCCGCTCGTCCAGGACCCGGACTCCGTAGAACAGCCAGTAGGACAGCGTGTACACGAACACCAGCGCCATGATCATGGAACGGAACACGAACACGCGGGGCATCACCACCCTCGGCCTGCGGAAGAACAGCGCCCACGCGCCGATCAGCAAGATCAACAGCTTGAAGGCAAAGCTGATGAAGAGTCCATGGCACACGGTGTTACACGGGTCCAGAGTCTCCTTCCACAGAACCAGTGGAAGCACTACGAAGGCGATGGGGGTGAGGAAAGCGAACAGGGACAACATGGTGGCGATGACCACCCCGAGGTGCTGGATGCTGCCCAGACCGATACTGTCCTCCATGTCCTTGGCCATCCTGGAGATGTCCTCCATGGACGTCTGTTCGCTGGTGCCGGTGATGGCCGTGGTGTTGTCTCCCCAGTTGTCATCCTGATGGGCAACACAACAGCACAGAGGTCAGAGAACAGAAGGGTAACTTCACTTTGGTACTGACAAAGTAGACTAAGGGTTATCAATTTATCATGTGTACAAAGCTACCTTAGTCTAGCACAGTTCTGCCAGTGTATTGAGAAAAGAAGGCTGTCGTGCTCACCTGCGAACATATATTTCCACAAACGCATCCATTTTTTGTAGAACTTTTGCCACCAGGAACATAGAGTGATTTACAGTACATATTTATTATCTATAGAAGAAAGACTGCTGTCGTGCTCACCTGAGGCAGAATCTGTACCTCGATGACCTCCTCTCCGTCCTCTCCGTCCCCCCCTCCGGTGGTACTGTGTGGCGGAGTCTGTATGGTCACCGAGCGGTCCGCCTTCAGCAGGGAGCTGCTGTGGTTGTGGTCGCGGCTGCGCCGTTTCCGCTCACGGTCCCGGTGCTTGTCCCGGCTGCGGTGCGAGCGGTGGCTCACGTAGCTGCTGTTGCCCGAGCGAACGGACTCTGTCTCCATGGTTACCGTTTTAAACTTTCACTGCCAGCTGATGCTAAGATGCCTCTGTCACGTCATTTCTGTACGGATAAAAAATAAAAACAATAGAAGTTAGCATATTGCTCAAGGATGCATTGTTAACATACTGTTTATGTTGACTAGTCATACCTCTTGTCATACTAGTCATCAGTATTCTAGCCAGCCTGAAAGTTTTGTTTGTCGACCTCCAAATGCAACAATCCTTGGGGGTCTGGAGTCACAGTCCTATTGAAAATTTTGAAATCTTGACCCTCTGTGAAATGCTATTTCCTGCATTTTGGGGAGCAAATTTTGCTGGTAGACTAAGCTTATTGCATCTCTTTTTATCTCATTTTTACACAACAATTCTTTGTCTGTTAAAGTTGAAGGATTGGGCAAAACTTCTGGCTGTCATGAGTAGGAAAATTCCATCAAATGATGGAATGACGGAGCTGGCTAGAAGAACACTGTTAGTCATTCTATCAATAGAAACCTTCATGGAAAATCTTCTTGCAAAAACTGTTTCAATGCCCATGAACAGGGGGGAATGGGAACAAAAAATTAACACAACACATACATACATTAACACAATACATCCAAGGTGTCCCCAGTTCAACTCACAACTTGTGGCAGTGAACAACATGACACAGAGTAAACCCTATACTGTTACCTCTATTATCCCTGACACTTCATGTCACCCTGAACATCACCCTGACTACAAATATCCGCTTCCTATGTACTCACAAACCACAACCTTCAAACAACCATGTCAGGAATACAGTATCACCCCTTATTCTTCACCACAGAGAGACCTTGCTGAAGGTTTAGGAATGGTACTGTAATTCTTAATTTTTTTTCCACGATACTTTTATGTTCACAGTTTTCACAGTCACTTCTGTACTGCGAACTCATCATTACCATTAACAAATAAATCGCCGACTTTATTTTTTCTGCACCTGCTGCCACCCTGAACATATAGTTTGGTGAACACCTCCATTTTTCTGACTGTGAAATTCTGCTACCGTGAACATAGCACGAATTACTGTATTACTGTATAGATAAAGCTCATGAGCCAGAACTGTTTTCACAACAATGGTATCCAAAGCACGGAGAGTGAGCTATTTCACTTCTTCCTGTAAGTCTGTCAGCGCTTTTCCTCCTAATTTGGCAGAAACACCACAGGTCGTTATGTCCTGTCCATTAACGAGATGGGTAGGTAAACACTAGCGTTTCAGGTGTGGGCAGGCACTAAAATAGTTCAGGCAATATACATGTATAACCAAGAAACTTCAAATAAAGAAACAGACAAGGAGGGATCAGACGACTGAAAATAATCTTGCAGGGCTCCAAATACTTTTCTCTGCATACCGGCACCGGTGCATGTGACATTGAAAACTACCTGCACCAGACAAATTTTACCTGTACAACTCAGAATTTAGGAAGCATAGATCATACAAAACCGTTAAAAATACACCCGTATTTGTATATAAACCCAGTACATGGAACAGTGCAGGTTAGGTGCAGGTAGACACCAGAAATACCTGCACAGCTCCAATTTTATCTGCACTAACCTGCATATACCCAGTACATGGACCAGTGCAGGTTAGGTGCATGTAGACATCAGAAATACCTGCACAGCTTCAATTTTACCTGCACTAACCTGCATATACCCAGTACATGGACCAGTGCAGGTTAGGTATAGGTAGGCATCAGAAATACCTGCACAGCTCCAATTTTACCTGCACTAACCTGCACATACCCAGTACATGGACCAGTGCAGGTTAGGTTCATGTAGACATCAGAAATACCTGCACAGCCCCAATTTTACCTGCACTAACCTGCGTACATGGTACATGGACCAGTGCAGGTTAGGTGCAGGTAGACATCAGAAATACCTGCACAGCTCCAATTTTACTTGCATATGCAGGTGGTATTTCTATCCCTGTCCTGTGAAGGCAATATTGCCCTGGGGACTTTCAGCCTCAGAGAGCCGACATCTTCACATTACGGTTCACATTCACAATGGCAGTGCGCCACTGGTGCATGGTAAACAAACATGGGACAGCCACCAACAATGGGTACCCAGCAGCCCCCTTCTTTGTATCGGGTATCACTAAATCAGAAAAGGGAATGTGCTGGTTTGCCAACAAAACACAGGTGGACACCAATGGCCTCCTCCTTTTACATCCCTCCCATCCACCTTAGTAATGCTTAATAGCAGATTGGAAGATGTTCGACCTCACCTACTACTGTAAACTTTAATCAGTATAGTTCCTTCTATGTTGCACTTAGAGCATTCTTTTTCTCACAAGAATCAGTTGATTGTCCTGCTTCATTTTCTTTATTAAAAAAGTCATTGTCTTCCTACTAGTTGTTACAGTTTATCCGTATCATTATCAATGCAGTGGTTTAATTGAAAGTTCAAAATTCATTGCTTGAATTATATTTATAAACCACTTAACCAGGCTGGTATGTGGGCTTGATGACTCCTATCATAGCATTTGGAGCTAGCATAAATGCCTAGGCCTTTTTCTTCGCTCCGTCCCTTCATATTTTTTTCTTTAAATAAAAAATCTTAGAACAAATTAAATTGTGTAGCTCCAAGTCAATAATGACATTCTTACATAGTTGATAAAAAGCACTGTACCTATAATTTCTGTTAGCTTTCTAGACCCTGCCCCCCTCCCCATCTACCGCAGCCACTTATACTCCAGTACAGGAAAAAATACCAACCAGTCCCTAGCCACCGGCCTCCTCTGAATTCCATACCTTTATTTGGCCCACACTCCATCAATCACAAATCCCATTACCAATTATTAAGTAGGTAAACACCAGACTGGCTCTGACCTGGGTCGCAAATCAGTAGCACATGCTGGAAAAATGTAGTAACCACCCCTCCCAGACCAGGCATTCCTACATGTAATACATGTTAACTGACATCTTACCATACCGTAGTCCCAAGGCAGGGCTCCAAATACTTTTTTCTGCATACCCACACTGGAAAATATTATAACTTGTAACAGACAAACTTTATCTGCACCACACAGAATTTAGGAAACATGGATCATACTAAAAAAACTGTTCAGAAACCATTGTCATTATTTCTTTCATACTTGATTTAACTTGTAAACAGTTGATGCAACAAATAAAAATCCACATACACCTATATTTCTACATAAATCCAGTGCAGGTTAGATTTAGGTAGACATCAGAAATACCTGCACAGCCACAGATTTTACCTACACTAACCTGCATATGCAGGTGGGATTTCAATCCCTGCAAGTCATCCAGACTATGTACAGCTCAAACAATCACTGGTGATCAAGATCACATGATCAGGACTAACTACCACGTACCATTAAAGACTAAAGTGGACCAACCTTAGCCACAATTTATGACTCGTACCAGACAGGCAAAAACAGGTTCGAGAGTATAAAAATGCACTCACACAATCAAACTGGTACAAACTTTACTGCTGCCTCTCCCACAAATTACTCTTATTGTCTAGACTCCAAATACGTCTAATGCTATCCATGACAAAGTAAGTATTGTACATAGTAATACATACAAAAAAAAAACATGCTGTATTATCTATAGGAACAACATCCCAGAGTCGAAGGTCCTCCACTCCACCTGTTAGGCTGCTGACAACATGATAAAAACTTTCCCACACAAGCATCTCTCTCCCTAAATTGCACTGGGCTCTAATCTCCAAGCAGATCTTTAGTTTGGCCGGCGAAAAAAAATACAGGGACAAGAGAGAGAGAGCCCAATAAAATGACATTCATGATAAGCCGTGGTCTAAGTATCTGCTTGGAGAGTAACTGCTCCACTTCATCATTTGTTGTTGGCACCCTTATCAGTGTGTTATGCCACAACTGCAGTTGCTATCATCGAGTCAACATGGAAGAAAGCCCTCCCTATCCCCTGCTGTCTCCCACTGTGGATCAAGTGTGGGTGTGCGTCACAACAGTTCTACAAACAGCTGGCTGTCTACAGTGTTCACTGTTCTAGTGTGCCAGCTTTGGTCTTTCCCTCATTTGACCAAATTTTGCTGCTCATGATGGACAGAAATTTTGCCCACTTAGTCACCTTTGACAGAAAGAAATTGATGTGTAATACTGTAAATCACTTAATGTTCGCGGTCTGGGAAAAACAGACATGTTCGCAGTTACGTCAGGTGCAGCAAAAAGGAAGTCGTAAGCAATTATTTGCTCGCGGTAATGATAAGTTCACAGTACTGATTGAGAAGCGACCACGAAAACTGCGAATATAAAAGTACCGTAGAAAAATGGTGATTTACAGTATGGAAAGACATGCCTAAGCTTAGTCTACTACTAGTAGTTCAATTTGTGCTTCAAAATGCCAAAAATAGCATTTCAAAAGATTTCTAAATTTTCCCAAAGGAGTATGCCAGAAGAGAATTGTTGTGCCTTTGGTGCTGTATATGATGTTACGACAAACAAAATTGAGATGATGGTAAAAAAACATTTCAGGCTGGCTAGAACGATATTGAGCACTCTACACAAGACAAGGCGGATGATAGCGGACTGGGTGGACCTCATTTTGAAGAGGAGACCTTCAAAGGAAAAAAAAATCACTTCAGTCCAAGTGGCAATGAGGAAAAGGACCCTCCAAATACCACAGGTCTGATACTGTGAGAATTCAAGCTGCGAAAAAAGTCAGTACCATTCTACAGTAGAAGCACCACAGTATTAACAACTCGTTACTCACATACTTCTGTGCCAAGATGTTTAAATTCTTCTAGACGATCGCAAAAATTCGAACAAACATATAGAATTTAGAAACCTCCATTCTAAACAAGCTTCATGCCCTCAACCAGTTTCCGTAGGCATAGGGCACCTGGAGATAAAGACTCAATTTACACGTGGGCAAAAACGCACATGAGCGTACGAAAATTACACGTCAAATTTTTCCTGTGTCTGTAAATCGGCCTGCTTTTAAGATCATACACTCAGAGTGTACGCCAGCTGCAAAGTAACGTAAAATCTGAATGTCCGTGCTTTATGCACATCAAAACAAAATAATTTACAAAAAAAAA